ATTTTTTTTTTTTTTTTGCCTAATGCCACTCACTGCCGAGAGACAGGTATTAAGATTTCCAACTATAATCGTGGATTTTCCCGGGCGGCCCTGCTCCGTCAGCCCTGGCTCGTGTGCTGCTGATTCTGGCTGCGTTCGCGCCGTCTTTGTGCCGATGGGCCCTCCGCCTGGAAGGCGCTTCGGCTGAGTCTGGAGTCCCAGGCCCGCGGCCCTTCTCCCCGCCGGTGCGCTGGGGCTGTCACTCGGTCCGTGTCGCACTGTTTCTGACACGGGCCCGCTTCTGTTCCTGCGAGGCTTCCAGGGACTTGGCTGCGGCCCCATGCGGTGCGACCTCCTTTGTATTCACCTTCCTTGCTTTTCGCTGACGTTCCTTGGTCAGTGTGTAACTGGTTTTTAATCAGGTTTGGAGAAACATCTGACCATTGTTTCTCCACACTGTTTTCCCTGCTTCCTTGCGTCTCTCCTCTCCTCCTGGGGCTCGATTGCGTGTAAGTTAGACTCCTGTGCTCTCCCACAGCTCACTGAAACTCTTTATTTTCTGTAAATCTTTTTGTCTCTCTTAGTTTCGTTTTGGAAATTTTCTATTGACCGGCCAGCTTACTTAGATTATTTTTGGCTCCAGAGAGTTTTCTTTGAAAGAGATTTTCTTCAGGGACGGAGAAGATGGAGGGGAGGCAGGCGCAGGCTGCAGTGAGGTCTCCGCAGCTCCGTCTCCACGGCTCACGCGTGCAGATTCCACTCTCGGGAGAGAGCCGGGAGGGTCTGCAAGTCCATCAGGTGAAGTTGGACACAACACGATTCCATTGGGGGCGGTTGAAATGCCTGTGGGTGCAATGACACCTGTTGTTACGCTTATGGGCAGGTTGCAGATTTGCTTGAAAACAAGTGACTTAATTACGGGCCTGAGCACTTGTCCAAAGTGTGTCCTCGAGCCCAGGCCCCTTTTCCTTTCCTCCCAGCAGACGGCAGCCTGATATCCCTGGCCCCTTTCACTGGCTCCTTGGAGCACCTTGAGGACACTTGAACAAGCACTGTGTACTTAGAACGATCCCCGTCAGCTGAAGGCAGGGCCTGTAGGTTCTACAGAGAACAATTTAAGGCTAAGGGGCTTGTGCAAGGGCCAAGAGGGAGGGAGTGCTTTGGGGAGCCTCCCGTCCTGTCCCCCATATTTACACATGAGGTCTGTGCTGTCTACGTAGCATGACAATTTATGTCTGTGGTGTAAGCACACCTCCTGGTGAAAACTCTGTGAGAGCCACACTTTTTGGAGTCCCCTCCATTTCAAAGATTTCTCTCCTGCAGTTTAAAGGTAAAAGAGTTTCTGGGTTATCATCATTTTCATAAAAGCCTTGCTTGCAGACAGCGGAATATATGGGGGGCATGCAAAAATGTCTCTGATGGAGTTTAAGACTTTGATGAAACATGTGAGCATTGAGCTTTCTGTGTGTATTAGGACATGGACATGGACATGGACCCCCTCGTAATCCATCCTTCACACCCAGGCCTCCCCTGCCCCCCCTTAAAGATGCTGGATTTTAAACAAGTTAATAGACTTTATATTTTAGAGAGATTTTAGGTTTGCAGAAAAGTTGAACATAAAGTACAAAGTGCTCTCATGTCGCCCCACCTTGTCTGCACATTCCGTTTCCTGTGAGTAACTTCTTGGGTTAGTGTGGTCAGCTCACAATGGATGGACACTGTTATGAACTAAAGTCTGTAGTATACACTCACTAACGCACCCTGAGGATGCAGCCGTTGGTCTTTCACTGGCTCCATAGTTTTGCCTTTTTCAGAATGTTATGTAGTTGGAATGCCTTCTTTCACTTGGCAGTACGCATTTCAGCATCTGCCATGTCATTTTTCTTTGTTGAGTAATATTCCACTCCGGACGGACCACAGGTTAGCAGCCATCACCTACTAAAGGGCATCTCGGATGCTTCCAAGTTTTAGCGATTTTGGATTAAGCCGCTATAAAAGTCCCCATGCAGGTTTCTGTGTGGACACGAGCTCTCCATTAATTTGATAAATACCAAGGAGGAAGACGGCTAGATCATAAGATGCTGGATTTAAAAAGAAAATCTCACTGGGGTACTCACACCTCCTGGTGCACTCATGGACTGTGTGTTTTCCCAGAGACGATGACCACGAGGACGGGTTCTGCCAGCCTTACCGGGGCATCGCTTGCGCTCGCTTCATCGGGAACCGCACCATCTACGTGGACTCCTTGCAGATGCAGGGGGAGATCGAGAACCGCATCACAGGTAGGAGCGCAGGCTTTCCACGCGAGACCGTGGGCAGTGTGGCGCTGTCCCTGTGGCACGGGCGCTTGTGTTCTGTCCACTCTTAGCTTGGACAGCGCCCGCTCCCTGCCCATCGCAGTAGAAGCAGGTGCAGCGCTGCCGTGGTTTCCCCTGACACGTTCCTCCCATTTGTATGTTTAAATTAGCTAGTGCGGGTTGTTGAGAATATTCTTCTTCTAACACGCTCAATTGGGTCTGCCGTGTGGTCGGAGCCCTGTGGTCCTGTCCCCACTGCCTTGCGGGTCTCCCATCCCAGGGCTGCCCCGCCAGGCAGCCAGCCCCGCACGCTCGCTGCACTGGACTTTGCTCCGTCTGGCATGACTCTGCGCCCTTTTGGAGTCGGGGTGGGTTGAAAGGTACCCGGGCCTGGTTTCGGGTGTTTGGGAGAGAGGTTGCAGGCCGGCGGCCATGCGTGGGGACTCGGCAGTGAGCCCAGCCCTGCGGCAGCCCTCGGCTCCCAGGGGACGCCCCAGAGCTGAGAGACAGGGAGCAGGTCATTGAGGAACGAAGCTGCTCCTCCATCTCGTTAGGAGTTAGTCCCTGGGTGATTGTTGGCCTTCAACCTTTATGCATTGACAGAAGGTCGTCTTGGGAGAAATCCCTTGAGAAGCGAGAAAATGAATTAAAGGAAAGCTCTGCAAAGCCTCCCGGTCTCTCCTGCAAAGGCACTCGTGTTTCTCCAGACTCTGTGAGAACGCAGGAAAGCCTTGTGACGGAGGCAGCTCTCCCAGCTTAGGTGGGTTCTCTCCACGGCAGTTTTGACCTCAGCTGCCCAGGAGAATCCCCGCCCACCTCTGATGCTGGGTCCCAGGAGAGCCTGGTGCAGTTTGCCCTGTGAAGGGTGGGCATGAGGCTCGCGGGCAGAAGCCCAGGCAGGTGTCACTGAAATGTCCTTCTACAGTTAGGTCACCCCTGGCCTTGCCTTTTACCCTCAGTCTGTGGCGTCTAGGGTTATGGTCAGGCAGGGCCTGCCTGGCCCACGTTCCGGAGCCCCCCGAGGGCAGTAGTGGGATGTGGAGAACCTGGGAGGCACCATCTTGGTCCAGTTGTGAGAATGGTTTGCAAGCCCTGTTGTCTGTCACTGGAAAAGCTTTTTATACCATTTAAAGCAGAACTTCTCACACCTTTGACCCAACAGGCAGTAAGTAAAAGGTGTACTTTGCATCTTGACTTAGTGCACACACACGTATTTCACAGAATCGGAATGTGTTACAGGAGACACTCACCCGTAATAAAAACAGTGCACTTAGAATTTTCTCTTCAGTTTTATTTTATTAAAGAAAATGTTGGGCCCAGCCGGTGTGGCTCAGTGGTTGAGTATAGTCCCCTGCACCAAGAGGTCACCCGTTCGATTCCTGGTCAGGGGTATGCCCTGGTTTCGGGCTCCATCCCCAGTAGGGAGCATGCGGAAGGCAGCCAGTTGATGTTTCTCTGTCATCGATGTTTCTGGCTCTCTCTCCCTCTCCCTTCCTCTCCATCTAAAAATCAATAAAAACATAAAAAAAAGAAAAAGTTGGTTGCACCCTTAATACGAACCAAGCACCCCAACACCCCCTGTTCTGTTTTACTTATCTTTTAAAATGCTAGCCACAGACTGCAGAATTAATTCTACACTAATTGGCAAACACTGATTCAAGACCCAAGATTGTCCCTCATGTATTTCTTCAGGAATTGTTTAAAGAATTAAGCAACTTGGATCTCTAGTCAGACTAATTTTATAACAGCTTTTAGATAAAAGTTTAGAATGAAGATTCTGTACATTCGTGGATTTCTGAGAAAATAAATGTGAAGGTGCTGGAGACCGCGGCGTAGAGACCGCGTCGGTGTGCCGTTGCCTGGAGCGTGCCCGTCAGCACTGGCTCCCAGGACTCCGGGCCTCCCACGAATGGGCCGCAGGAAGCCCTGGGGGTGCGTGCAGGGCTGGACAACGGGAGGACAGGAGGTGCGCTGCACCCGCGGCACCCAGAACCCGCTCTCAGAAGTAAGCCCCACTTGATGTGCCTGAGGGGAGGGGAGGAGGAAATCGACTGGGGGTCGGCCGTGACCCCAGAAATGCCAGGCGTGGCTCTCAGTCTCCTGCCCGAGAGCCAGGGCCGGCACCCGCAGCAGCCCTGCAGGCGGTCGCCAGCGCCACAGCACGGGATGGAACTGATTCACGCCCCGGTGTTTGGCCAGCCTCTGGTCCTCAACTTCACTAGGAGCCAGGAGTGACCGTGGGGGCGAAGGATGGTGTGACCCACTGGCCACAGGGGGCCTGGCCGAGGCGCCGGGGACAGCACCGGGACACAGCTGGCACCACGGCCTGTGGGCCGCTCTTCTCGCCTGTGTACCGCTTCCGTGTGGGCTTTCCCTCCTGTGGGGTCTCAACAAGTCACTCTCAGATAGAGACACAGGCCCAGGAAGGGCCGAGGGACCACCTCCCGCAGTCAGCACCGGGCCCTGGCGGGACTGGCTCCTGGGATGTCGGACCAGCAGCCCCGCCTGCTGGCAGAAGGGGCACTACAAGTGGGTGGAGCTGGGGCGCCCCAGGGACTAAATTCCAACCGCGCTGCAGGGTGCGCAGGGGAAGCGCCTCTTTCTTTAGCTGTCCAAGATCAAATCCTCCTAAGCAGGTCCTTCCCAGGTCAGAGTGGCTGGGCCTTCTGGCCGAGCCCCACTGCGACAGCCTTCCCCCCGCCCCTTCGTTTCTCCATACCCGGTGTCAGGTTCTTCCTCTGGGCGGTTCATTCCCAACACACTCCATCTGGGGGCAGCTTGCCCCTAAAAAGCAAGACTGCACACCTGGCTCAGCCCTCCTGCTAGGGCTGCTTCTCCGCTTCTCCTTTACCACAGTCCCCCATGCAAGCCCCCCTTTCCCCACTCCCAGTTCCTCAGCTCTCTACCCGGCACCCACCGCCCTCGGCACCCCTTTCCTCTGCCACTCCCTGTCCTCTGAGTCCTGCCAGTGCATGGCCCGGGCTGGCTCTCCGTGTGTTTGGCACACTCGCCTCCCTCCTCTGTCCTGGCTGCGGCCTCCGCAGGCTGCTGTGACCTGCCCGCAGGCCCCGGGGCGTTGAGAGCGAGGCCTCATCCTTGTGCCTCTTCACCAGTCTCCCGGTGGGAGCCGCCCAGCCCACGGCTTCTCCGGCTGCCCTGTGCTCGCAGAGCCCCAGGTTCCTGTGGGCCGGAGGAAGTGCCTTCGGGTCTGAAAGGGGGCTCCCCCGCCATGCGAGGAGCATCTAGCAGGTGGTGCCACGGGCCCAGTTTTCCTTCGCCTTGTTCCGCCTTGATGTTTGTAAGCGAAGCCTAGGGCCTTCTACGTCTGGGTCCAGTCAGGGCCGATGACGGCGGCCTGGGGCCCAGCTCCTGTGAGCGCCTGGGCCGGGAAGATAAGGGGGGC